TTCTCCCCACTGACTACTTCTCCTAAGTCCCACTACTGCTTCACTTCCTGACCCTGAGATTGGATTCCCTTGAGCCCAGTCCTCATGCCACTTCTCTTCATTGTGTTCAGTTGGTCTCCTAGTGACTTGAACGTGCAAGTGACTTCCAAAATCTGATCTCTACAGAAGTATTCAGGAAGCACCTCAAACTGAGTATGTGCAGAGTAGACCTCTTGCTTTCTTCCTCTGCTCTTTCCCTATCCAGCCTTCCCCATCCGGGTGAGTGCCTGTCATGCCAGCTCATCACTTACATCTCTATTCACTTGTCACCTCTTCAGAGACACCTTCTCTGTCCATCCCATCCAAAACTCTCCCCACTTCTTGACCTGCGCCCCACCCCCCCGCCTCACTTCTCCATCCCCCCCATCCTTAGTTCCGAGAGAACAGGGATTTTACCTGTCCTGTTTATTGCTACATTCTCAATACCTCAAAGGATGCCAGACTCATAATGGGAGTTGGATAAATGTTTATTGAAGGAAGTAAAGACTGCCTGAATGAATGAATGAATGAATGAGTGAGTGAAAAGAAAGGAACGAAACAGTTGAACAAAGAATTTGCTAAAGACTAAGGTAGGATGAAAGAAACTGGTTAAGTGTTGGGATGCTATCCCTTAAATTTTTTTTTAATCTGATTCATAAATTCTTTATTGAATTTTCTTAAATGAATTTGAGTTCAGGGAGGGCTAAAGTAGTTTAGGGATTGAGGAAAAATCACTTATACTTGGGATCTATTAGTAGTAGTTATTGAGGAAAAGGTACTTCTAAGATTGAATTCAGAGACAAAATGCAATACTCCTATTACTCAGTGCTTAAGTAGATGCTAATTACTGCGTCCTAATGATTCCTAGGCGTAGAAACCGGCAAGCAAACGGGGCTGAAGTTCCCATTCTTTTTACCCTGGTAACAGTGAAAGTGATGGAGAGGGGCTGGCAAACCTGCTTCCAGCACAGCCATTCCTAGGCCTGCGGCGTCTGGCTGCAAGGTGCTCTGAGGAGGAGGAGGCCTCTTTGGAATGGACTCCTGAGCATTAATTTCTTCCACCAGGAGATCAGTAAATGACCCTTTCCACCTGCTGCCATCCAAATTTGGAATTTGGTTACATCATGGATTTTTGCTCCTGCTGGATGAATCTTATAATCAGTCTCAAGGAGAAAGATGGCATTTCGCATCACTGCACTGCCAGCCTCTGTTTGCAGGGACGACTCACTGCATCCAAATTAAACTTCTTACGGTGTCATTTCCCACCTTTGCAAACTGATGAGTTGGGGAGCCTCACACTTAGGAAACACTGACATGCTGTTCTTTGGCCAGTATCTAGATTGTGAACTTGTGAAATGTTAAGGGGAAAAAAAAAATCCCCATTTGTCCCCGCAAGATGAATAGAGGAGCTGCAGTGCCATCTGCTGGCCTCCGAGGGAAATGCAAACAATCGTTAGAAACCCCTCTTAAATGTAATGAAAAGATCCAAAATGCAAACTAGATGGTGAATTTTATATATGTGTGATTATTTGAAGAAAGTAGATAAAAAAATACCTTTAAAATTGTAAGCTAGAATTTTATTTATTTATTTATTTATTTATTTTTTATTTGGTTTTTTTGTAAGCTAGCATTTTATAGAGGAAAACATATTTATATTTTGTGATAACTTTGTAATAGTGAGAACTTACCTTTTTATGCCTTGTGGGTTCTGGAGTATATTTATGGTAGAAGACATTCCCATTTGGCAGGAATAATGAGAAATGAGTTGGAAAATAGAGGTTAGCTTTTGAATTCTTCAAGAATAGAATAGAAACAATTTTATATATATTTTATCTGGAGAGGAAGAGTCCAGTGTCTGGTAGGAAGACGGCTGGGCTGCCAGTGCCTGGGGAGAGCTCCTTGTTGGCTTCTAACCAGCTGATGGAACCTTGGACCACTCCTGTAGCTTCTGGAGGTCATTGTTCCCTATAAAATTGGAATTGGATTAAATGATGGGTACAATTCCTTACAACTGGTATTATTCTAATCAGCAATGGACTGAAGAAAAGTAATTTTTTTTAGGCCATTTCCCTCATGAAAACATTTCTTTTAGGAAAAGTGAAAGTTCACCTAAATATTTGTATTTTATTACATAGTTAAGTAGTTGATCAAGAGCTAGGGATGTTTGATGTCTTTGGTCCTTTAGCAATTAGGTCAAGACTCTCCACGTCCTTAGAGTGATTTTAAAAATAAATGTGGTGCTTCCTTTGCTGTGAGCAGTAAGGCAAAAGCTGTGGTTGGTGGTGCTGGAAGGTGGACCGATGCATATTATATATGACTTTGAGCTCAGAATGCAACAGAGTAAAATTTGAAAAAACATTTAGAAACCCAGACTTTAGCTCAAATATTGTTTCTTTTTATTTTTATTTTTTTTTTAAGATTTATTTTTTTATTTTAGAGTGAGAGAGCATGGTGGGGGGGGGCATAGTTGAGGGGCAGAGGGAGAAGGAGAAACCCAAACAGACTCCACACTGAACATGGAGCCCAACTTGGGGCTCTATTTCATGACCCTGGGGTCACCACTTGAGCCCAAACCGAGTTGATTGCTTAACCGACTGCACCACCCATGCACCCCACAGATAGTATTTCTTTAGAAGAATTCTCTGCTTTAATTCCCCAGCCAGCTAGCCAACTCTACAGTCTGCTCACACCTGCCATTTTCCGGGCCCGTACCTCTGTGGGCTTGAGTGGTCTCCACGATGTGCTGCTGCTTCTCTCCTTCTGTCCTGCTCCACCCCCAGCCCTGCCTTCCCCTTCCTCCTGCTGTTGCTTCTCCCTTTTTTTTTAAGCTTTGCTTTTTTTTTTTTTTAAGATTTTATTTATTTATTCATGAGAGACACAGAGAGAGAGAGAGAGAGGCAGAGACACAGGCAGAGGGAGAAGCAGGCTCCATACAGGGAGCCTGATGTGGGACTCGATTCCAGGTCTCCAGGATCAGACCCTGGGCTGAAGGCGGCGCTAAACCGCTGAGCCACAGGGGCTGCCCTGTTACTTCTCCCTTGAGTGCACTTCTCCTTTGTTCATGTTTGTCGCCCTCCTTGCATCGTAAGTCCCATTTCTTTGTAATCATCCATATACCTGACTCATAATGGCACTCAGTACATTTTTGCTGAATGAATTAAGAACTGAAATGGCTTTTTAAAGTAAGTATATCTTTAGTCATTTATTTTCTATTTTTAAAAAATATTTATTTCCTTGAGAGAGAGTGTGAGAGCAAGCACAGAGGGAGAGGGAGAAGCAGACTCCCCACCGAGCAGGGAGCCTGATACGGGGCTTGATCCCAGAACCCAGAGATCATGACCTGAGTGAAAGCAGACACTCAAACAACTGAGCCACCCCGGCACCCCTGTCTTTAGTCATTTTCATTTTTGTATGGGTAGGAGGGCAGAGAGTAGACCTTTGGAGCTATATCTTGGCAAAATATGATGAGACGGTAGATTTTCCTTACATTTTCTTTGTTCACTGCTAGTAGTGATGGGAAATAATGACTTCAGGTCTAGCGTTCATCCTCAGCAACTGAGATGCCTCCCCTGCTTCTAGTCTTAGTGCCTCCCCTCTCCCCTTATTGACAGTACTATGCGCCAGTTCTCTTCTCTCAGACTTTGGGTATGAGGGTGCTTGCAGGGCCTGGGCTTTCGGGTTCAATCAGGTAGCATCAGTGACCCTGCACTGAAGAGCACAGGCTTATCACAGGTGCACAGGTGGCTTTGCATAACAGAAAGCCCCTTCTTGCTTCCTCTGGTTGCCTTAAATTTTAGAGGTCCTATTTCACCTGTAGGGTACCCAGCAGGTCAGCATTTGCAGCTTCTTCTTCTCTTTCTCTGATCTCTTCAGTGCAACACAGTTCTGGCCTCCCAAGCTCTGTCGTCCCATGATTCTTTAAATCAAGAATGCACTTTTGCCAGATGCCCCCTCTGTCCTCCCTGGAAGAGGAACGACGTGAGGATTCAGGTGTAAACACCCTGAGTATCTGTGCTTCTGTCCCAAAGCAGATTCCTTCTTCCCGGTTTTCCTTGTCAGCAGTGGACACCCAACTTAGCCTCTAGGCTTTGGATCAACCCAGCGAAAGACTGTGTTCCACCTCTACTCTGACCATTTTGAGAGTTAGTTTTGACTTTCTTTGTTTTCTTTCCTTCTTACCTGAAGTTGGTGTTGGTCTTTGTGTTTCTAGGGAAACATTTAATTAATTTGGTTTTGGGTTGTGTTCGTGTTTCAAGTTATTTGGATTTGTCTGTATTTGTCACAAACTAGCAGCCAGAATAGGGTAGGGTATGGCCAAATTTGGTGCCCAGACATGCATTGATTAACTTGGACACATTTTAAAAAACATTGAATTATTTGCCATTACTTACAAATGTGGAGCTGTTTTTTTTTTTTTTTTTTTTAAAGCAGATTTCCTGGCTTCTCTTTGTATATAGGTAGCTCTAGCAAGGCAGATAGCATGCCTGTGGATTCAGCAACCCACTGCAGGAGCTGCATACCACCTGCCCCCTCTGTTTGGAGCATCTTATTTCCTACACTTCTGCAGCTGACCACTATACTCACCTGCTGGCCTCAGTGGCTGGCATTTGTGGTGCTGGGTCTCTATTCTTAACTATTATCTGCTCTTTCCCACTTACACAAGAGGCTTTTCAATGGCAATAACTTCACATGTGGTTAATAGTTCACAGAAGTGGATCATCCGGTGATCATCCAGTGAAATTTGTTCCCCTCATTTAATGGAGGTCTTACCCTGGAGTGAGTCTTCAGTAAATACTGACAAATGGTTCATGAGTGTATTTCTAGAAAGGCAGCAGCTGGCTAGATAAGGCCAGTGGTAAATACCCTATCAGAATTTCCCTGGCTCTGCTAAGTGGTGTTGATGCCAGGTCAGACTAGTTGGGAGTTTTGTCCTCCCACAAAGGCAAGGCTTCCCTGGTAATCACACTTGTTTTTCTTTTCTAGGAACACTCTTCATAAGTCCAACTCAGAGGACGGCTCTGTAGGTTAGTACTCCTTTTCTTGGGTTAATGCCTTAAAATTATCTTAATGCTTTATAGAACGTATAAGTTGTGAAAAAGACAAAAACCACAAAGAATCTTTGCACCCAGAAAGAAACACTGTTAAGATTTTGATATCTACCTCTCCTCTCTTTTTTTCCCACATGTATTTATGTGGCTTTTCTTTTAAAAACAGTTGGGATCATACTCTGCATATTATTTTATAAATTTTTTCAATAGAATGTGTGCTGAGCATTATCCCACATTGATTACAGTAAAAATTTTTAAGTCTATAATATTCCATCACATTGTATGGGCCACAATTTAATCAACTGCCTCTTCTTTTGCTGGACGTTTGTTTCTAATTTTTTGCTCTCAGAGAATTGATGCTATCCTAGAAATCCTTGAGCCTTTCTCTGATCATGGCCTTAGGATAAATCCTTTGATTTGGAACTTTTGAATCAAAGACTGCACAATTAATGTGTTATACATTTCACGTTTCCTTGATTACAAAATCCTCTCTTGATTTAGTGACATCTTTTCTGTTCAGGTCAGAGTGATTCTGGCAGTTGGGCAAGGTTTTGGGATTAGGAGCATAAGTGCTCAAACCAGGTTTTGATTTGGATTTGAATCAGGATTCCAACTCAGTGGTTATGGCTTTGGGCAAGTCATTTGCCTCCAAAGCCTCGGTTTTCTCATCCACTAAATGGGAACAATAACGCATCCTGTTCGTTGCATGTATTAAGTGAGATAAGCCATTAGATAGCAAGGTGCCTGGGCATGGTAAGTGCTCAATAAATGTTCGCTACTATTTATTTTTTAGTTAGCACCTCCATTTCAGAAACGTTAAAATAGAGGAAAGTGAGGAGTATAGCTTCCAGCAAAAGAAATATGTTGCAATTATCCAAGAGAAAGGTGGAGTAAGTGATAATCCTACTTCTGCTTTCCCTTCTCATGGCTATTTGCTGCCGTGTTTAGCTGAAAAGCAGTAGGTGCCCTCACATTCCCCTGCAAGATTCTGAGTACATAGGAAGTCTCAGCGAAGCTGGGGTGGGCCTTATTCCAGAGCCCCGGGGCTTGTCAGCACTTAAATGAGGGCATCTTGTTTTGACACATGGTGCCTTTTTGAGCCCGGGAGCCCCGTGGACAGGAGTCTCCGTGCGTCTGTGTTGTGCCGCATTGCCTGGCACCACCAGTCTAGACTGTGCAAACCCAACAGTGCCTTACACTCCTGGGTCCTGTTTTCCAGTGGCCACAGAGCAACCAGACACCAAATGGTGACAGTGACAAAGCTGCTGCTTTGAGTGTGCCACGTCTACATGAGAGCTGCTGCTGCAGCTTTTAAATAAAGGGCTACTCGATTCTTTTATTTTACTTCCTCTCTTCCCTTCTTTTGGCCTTTTAGAAAGCATTAGATGTCAGCGATGATCAGAACCCTAGCAGACACTACAGGTGTCTAGCTACGGCAGTGAGCTTGTTTTCACCCGAAGACAAGTGAAACAGACTGTCCCCTGAACAGTCGGGGGAGGGAGGGTGATGGGAGAGACAAGGGGGCTCACTTGGGAGATGTCACAGCAGGCTAGCAGCCTGCTTTCCTTATCATCATACCTGGGTAAGCTGCAGGTAGTGGCTCACCAAGTAGCCCGAATGCCGGAGAGGTGGGCATGCCCTCTCCGCACCCTGCCCGTGCCAAAGCCATCCCTGTGCAAGCCCGACACCCTAGGGAAACAGCTCATGGGCCGGCTCCGTCGGCTGGCTGGTACACCCAGGACACACCAGCCATTCCGTCACCTTCTTTAAACCTGGCACGACAGCAGGCAATCAAGGGGAGGTCAGCCACAGGGGTAACGACAAAACAAAGTTCGCTTCTCAAAGTATCCTATCCGTGGTTTCGTTGGAATAATTGCGGCTAAGACCAGAGGGGGCGAGGCCACCGCAAGACTAGACGAGGCCAAATTAGACGTAGCAGTCAAACAACATCAAAGCGAATAGACGATTGTGTGTTTTGCCTTTTTTGATGTTTATTTCTCATCTTAACCCCCACTGCACCCTTACTGGCTGCTAGGAAATTTGCATTTCTTTTAAATGACTTTTTAGGCTATTTCCAAGTCTTTCACAAACAAAGAAGAAAACTGTCCTTTTTTGTGAAATCAAAGTATCCTTAGAAGCTTTGAATTGTAAAGAAGAGGCTACTTTTGTTATTAATGAATTTATTGCTTGTGCCTTTCTTTTTTTTTTTTTTCCTTTCATTTTTAAAGGAAAAGGAGATTGGAAGAAGAAAAATAAGTACTTCTGGCAGAACTTCCGAAAGAACCAGAAAGGAATAATGAGACAGACGTCCAAAGGTACTGTGACACAGCTGGCAGACAGTAGGCTCCTTTAGCTCTCCATGTTGAGAAGCCACTAATCCCGCCGAAGGCTGCCAGTCGAATCTCCTGGCGTTCCTATCATGACTTTAAGACTTCATCCCGGTGGTGTTATTTGTTTTTGTTTTGTTTTGTTTTGTTTTTTAATCAAAGAAAACCCAATGAGGAGAGTTGGCAGATCCTCCTTTTTCATAGATCTGACGGCAAAGACCCAATCTTTTGTTTTCTCGGTCACGCCAACCTCAGAAAGGTTGTTACTCGCCAAGATCTATCCTAAAAGGGTCTAGGAAGTCATAGCATTTGTTAGTTTTGGACTCATCCCCCTGTCCCGCCACTTGGGGCCTTTGCAATCTTCTGAACTTTTGATGCTTTTCTGTGGCAGGGACAGTTACGGGCTGTTGCCCCTGGAGACTCTGTCTAATGGTCTGACATCATGGGAATTTGCCCGGGCTGCTTTGTGCAGGGAGTCCTGCCCTTCTTTTGGCTGGGTCTTTGTTGTTGTTTATATAGTAAGTAAATATGTCATCCCTTCGAGGCCTAGTTATGTAATTTATGTTTCCCCAGTATTCAGAGAGGAAACAGCAACAAAGCTACTTCTCGATTCCAATCCAGCTGAATGAGGTTATCACAAGATGAAGATTTTTAGTCGCTCACCAGTGACGCTGTTTGTTTTCTTTCACAAAACTGTAGTGTCCTATCCTGTTCAGAATGCTTCTCCTGTTATTCATACACGTGGAAATGAGAAACGTGGACAAGGAGAGTGTGCGTGCTGGGACCCCAGCAACATTCACTGGGGTTATTTCAGTTGTCCTGGTTTAAAGTTATGATTCTTAAGCATTCCCAGTTTTTTCCTTTTGGTACACAGCCAAGAGCACTTGTGATTCAAAGAAAATCTTGGATCCTAACAAAGTCTTATTTAGAAACAAAGGGAAGAAGAAAGAGAGAAAGGGATGGAGGGAAGAAGCCAACAGTTAACTGACTCATGTGGATTTTTTTTTTTTTTTACAAAACCCAACCAGCTCCCCATCGCTCCCTCCTCCCTCAGAGGTGACGCAGATAGTAAAATGAATCAAACCAGCAGGCTTGTCTCCTCACCCAGCACACACTATTATTCTTCCCAGACAAGTAGATGAGTGGCAAAGGAAACCTGAGTCTTATTTCTGGACTGATTGATTATAGAATGGAAATTAGATAGGGAAACACAGGGGAACATGAATTCTAGCATAGGCCCTGACTTCAGTGGGTTCCTACAAGTCTGCAGCCAGACTCTTTTGCTGTCCTTCGGCACCAACGGCAGACGTAGCCATGGCCAAGCATCCTAGTGACACCGACGCTGGTAAAGTATGTATGAGAAAGATAAGGCAGGAGAAAGAGGAGGAACAAGAATGTGGGTTGATTCCCAGTCTGTGCATGACAGTCCACTTCCGTGGACATATCCTTCCCTACGTGCTCACCAAAGGCACACAGGTGAATGTGGCTCACATATATTACAGATAACGGCAATCTGTTTGCTCTGCTGGAAAGCATTTTTGAAGGATCCTAGTAGGGGAATTCTCTTTTCCTCAGCAGTTCTGGTTGCCTTAAGTTTTGTTTTGTTTTTAGAGGAAAAGGGAGAGGGACAGAGGGAGAGAGAGAATCTTAAGCAGGTTCCATGCCCAGCCCAGAGCCTGACACGGAGCTTGATCTCATGACCCTGAGATGGTGACCTGAGCCAAAACCAAGAGTTGGACACTTAACTGACTGAGCCCCCAGTCAGTTGCCCAGGCACCCCCAGCTGTCTTCATTTTTGAATAGTAATTTGAGTTCCCCTCATAGTTCAGATACCTATTTATGGCAGAACTTTCAGATATATACATATATATGTGTGTGAACATATATATGTGTGAACACACACACACACACAGCATATATGGCATATATCTTCAAATATGGCATATATGTATATATGCCAGAACTTCCCAATGCATGCCAAAACTTTCCTTCCTTCCAATGAACTCTAAATGCTTCTTACCTATCATTTTATTTATTTGCACATATCCTCTAAGGAACACCAAACAGCTTCTTAGGAATCTAGGATCTCACCAGCCTCCAGGTCTTGTTCTGCTGCTGACTCTGTGACCTTAAAGTTCTGTGTTTTGAAAGAGGGGTCCCTCCCACTCCTCTGAAAAAGATTTTTTTCTTGTTCATATTTGAAATAGAAGGACACAGAAGACCATCAGCGGAAGGAGCCTTGGAATGCTTGTCTGCTCTAGGTGGGTCTTTAAATTAGTCTGAAGTATCAGATTTCCTGTCAGCTTTCTTCCAAAACTCTTCCACTAGACCCTCCATCACAAAGGCTCTGATCATTTTCAAGGATTTGTTTCTATGGTAACATCCGTATGTTCTCAGAACCTATTTCTCAATAAGATGGGATCTTTGGCTTCCTGAAAAACAACCCATTATTGCTCCTGTTGCTTCATCGGTAACGTGCGAAGCTGGACATTGCCCCTGAACTATCTCCTTCTCTAGTCCTGAATGATGACCTTTGAGGATTAGCATTCTGTTTTATCTTCCTTTTTTTCACTCCTGTCTTTTGTCTTCAATCTCTAGGAGAAGATGTGGGCTATGTTGCAAGTGAGATCACAATGAGCGATGAGGAACGGATTCAGCTGATGATGATGGTCAAGGAGAAGATGATCACTATTGAAGAAGCACTTGCAAGGGTAAGTGCATGGTTACTTGGTTTACATTTGTGAGCACTTGACCCTCTTACATGGAAAAATGTTTGGAGAGTCGCCATAGATCGTTTGTGTCCCCCCTGCCCCAATCCATGTATTAAATTCTAATGCCCAATGCAGTGTTACTTGGAGGTAAGGCCTTTGGAGATGCTTAGGTTCTAAAGGTGGAACCCTCGCGAATGGAATAAGTGAGCTTGTAAAAGAGGCCCCAGAGAGCTCCCACACCCCTTCCGCCTCTGAGGACTCACCATGAGAAGATGGCAGTCGGTGAACCAGAAGCAGGTCCTCACCACACACTAAATCTTGCCAGCTCCTTGATCTTGGACTTCCCAGCCTCCAGAACTGTGAGGAATCTCTGTTGTTTATAAGCCATCCGGTCTATGGTAATTTGTTATAGCAGCTCTTGTGGACTAAAATGGGGACCTCAAGATGTATAGAAACATTTTATTTGTTTGTTTGTTTATTTAAGATTTTATTTATTCATAAGAGAGAGAGAGAGAGAGAGGCAGAGACACAGGCAGAGGGAGAAGCAGGCTCCATGCAGGGAGCCCGACGTGAGTCTCGATCCTGGGTCTCCAGGATCATGCCCTGGACTGAAGGCAGCGCTAAACTGCTGAGCCACCGGGGCTGCCCAGGAACATATTATTTAAAGTAGTATTTTGATGATACTTTAGTGGTCATCGAATACCTATGTTATCAGATAAAATACTGATTCCATTCTATTTACTTAATATAAGCTTTCCATGTTGTGAGTTTTAAATTCCATATTCAGTGACTACCGAATGAATGAACGGCAAATATTTTTGAGCTGTGGACCACGTTAATGAGGAAAATGACTCTCTGGATGCCATTGCAAAATACACAATCCTTGTAAAAAGATTTATAAGAATATAATAATGATAAAAAATTATCAAATAAAAAAGTTAAACTTATAGTATGACCATTGTAAATATCAGTTCTATAAAATGCTGTCACAGACTACACTTTGAATAATTTAAAATTTAAGCTTTAGGTATACCTTAAAATTTTACTTACTTTTCTTTCTAAGTAGGTATTCATCATTGCGAGTCATATTTCTTGCTCTCAGTTAAATCAATTACTAAAAGAAGCCTAATTAACCCTTAGGGCACTGGTATAGCGTTTATGATGGAGAGATAGCAATTATTAAGAGATTTTCTGCTTGGTTGTTGCCCAACAAACTGCCTGATGGATTCTTGGGTTTCTACTTAGAATAGCTGGTTTGGTTCTGTGTAGATGAGTCATAAATCAGGCTGGTTTAGAAACAAGTGAAAACTCTAAAGTCCCTAAGGAATCATTGAATGAGTTATGACTTTACCATTAAATAGAATCTTAAAGATTTGAAACCTTGAAACCATGACAACAAGCACATTCAATTTAGTTTCATATACCTGACTCTAAACCTCAGTGGTTTAAGGAGCAAAAAGTTTAATTTATTCTTGAGACAACCTGAGAGGAATAAAGCACTTGATGGGAGTGAGAGATGGGACTGGGTTTAGTTGGAGGCCTGAGGGCCAAGGCCATCTCCAGACGCCCATCTACCCACTTCTCTTGCTCTGTCAACTTGAAGGAATAGAAATCATCTTGGCCCGCAGTGTCTCTGGTGGACCAAAGTAGTGCTGGGCCAGCGATGGAGCAGATGACAGGTGGCAGCCTCCTGTCCTTGTTGCTGATCTACCTTCTCTCTCAACCTGGTCTCCCTGCTCCATCACACCTTTGGCCACCTGGCCCAGCTGCCAGCAGAGACGAAAAGCCCACCATACATTTTCTCTCCAGTTCCATTTCTTGAACATGGCATAGCATTTTGGGAGAAGTCCAGCTGAATGCCTATAAAATACATGTGAGGAACATGGACGTGTATTTAGTTTTACTGTGGTAGGCAAGACGTGTACTTACCTTCTGGGGAGCGATGCATGCTGCTGCACTGCTTTTTTAAAAAGCACAAATGAAGATCAGAATGCAAAAGAAGTCTACAGTCGTCTGACTATACTTGTGTTTGGGAAGAGAGTTGCATGTGATGTACCTAACCCAGTTTTCATGAAACAGAAGAAAATATGAGAAGTGGCCTTAACATAGTTTTAGGTGGTAGCACATTCCTATAATTGAAAAGAAAGGAATATTTTCAAAGTTGGGGAGAAAAAAAATTAGCTTGAAGCTCCTTCTGAGTTGGTCATTTTTACAGCTAGCCATTATTCATACAGAAAGGAAATTAGAAGTTAACTCCACAAGAAGGTGGCACAGCCGTGTGTGCATTTGGGTGGAGGCTTTAATAGTGCAATCTGTCTATTCCCAGTGGGGCTGCCTTGCCTAGTTTTAGGACAGAGCTCATCAAGAGATCAAGAATATTTTCTGTAAGGCAATTCAGAAACACAGATTGAAGAACAAAATTGATTACATTATCTAAACTCTACTAGATTCTGCACACAAATATGGGTGTCCTTTGGCAGATGATGAAGTGGCAGGGAAGCCTTTTGGCCTGTTCTTGGCAGGGCAGCCTACATCTTCAGCTACTAGTGCCTAGATGGGCTGTTTCTTTGGCCAGAGACAAAACACTTCATGAAAAATGTTATTTAGAGCAGAAAACAGTCTGTGGAAAGGATCTTCCCCCTTTTTGACCAGCTCAGGGATCTAAATTTACTTGAATATATATATGTGTGTACACACACACACACACACACTCAGGCTGCCCCCAGCAGGTAGATTTAAAGTCCCTTTTCACAGTATTCAACAAAGTGGTCTCGGAAAGCCTGGATGGTTCAGTGGTTTAGCGCCGCCTTCAGCCCAGGGCCTGATCCTGGAGACCTGGGATGGGGTTCCATGTCAGGCTCCCTGCATGGAGCCTGCTTCTCCCCCTGCCCGTGTCATCTCTCTTTCACTCCTCTCTGTGTCTCTCATGAATAAATAATGAACAGCTATTCACATTATAAAAATTAAGATTTAATGAAAAGAAGCACTTTTTAAAGAAGATATGTATTTGCAAATATTTGTAGTTTCCTCCAACTTCATTTATACTTAAGATTTATGTCTTTCTTTTCTCTACTTCATGGTAAAACAAATTTTCTAAAGGACTTAGGCCTTTGTATTTTATAACATTTATTAAGAATAATTTGTTCCAAGGCTAATGGATTACTGTATTTTATTGAATCCTATATATATGATTTTATATATATGATTTTATTGAATCATGTATGTATGTACACACACACATACATACACTCTTAAGACTTGGACCTCCTATAATGATCATGCTGAAAATGTCCTTCAGAACATCAGGTGTATGTTTTCCTGCTGTCAGTCAGATACTTAAAGATCCACGGGTAGAACATCTGAACTTTACTCCTGACAGGACAACCCAGTAGCAGAAGAGAAATTTGCCTGTGTGCTTCTTGGAGCTGGGAGTATCCCTCAATACATCCTTGTATTATGGAAAATTTTGTCTGATGTCAAAGATGATTTGGTCCATTGTGCTTTGTTTATATGAATTTCATCTCATTGATGGGTATTTTCCCTCTGGGAAGTGTACAGCCATGATTCACACACCTGAAAACCCAGTTATTGATACAAACAGATCAAAATGAAAAAGGCTACAAGGAATTAATATGTGAAACACTACCATAAGGTGCAAAAAAAAAAAAAAGCATCTGAAGGGAATGAACTTTACAAAACACCTCTGTATTTTCTTTGAGTGTGTAATTTAAAAAGACAACAGCTTGAAAAAAAGACAGCATAACTTACGATTTTTATATTTTGTTAACTGAATAGTTTCATCAAATCTAATGGCATTTCTTTCACACATTTTCTAATAGTTTTATGATGGATACTTACTACATGTACTTTAAGGAAGTCAAGCTTATTAGTAAAAAAAAAATTGTTTAGGGTGATTTAGGTAATTGGGATATTCTATGTAACACAATTTCCAAATGGTAATTTTAAGAGCATACATAGCTCTTGACAGGTAAGCTCAGGCAAGTAAGTTAGATCTTGGGCTAGTTCTGCAAGGTTTGGAAGACCTGTGAGATACTTGAAAGCCACAGGTTATTTATCTGGGTGATTTTTGTGGCGTATGAGTGAGGATAGGTGGGTAGGGAATAAACTCAGTTTTAAAGCTTTGGCTAAAAATAAAAAAAAAATAAAGCTTTGGCTAAAAGAGAACTCTACTGTTTTGGTATGATGGTGCTGAGTCGTGATGAAGCAATGTTGTAGAAAAATATGTCCTTTGACATTTTAATGGGAAATACTATCTCTAGGAAATTGAGGGGGATCTATGACCATGATTTGATAATCATATTTCCTAAAATACAATTATGGATATAAAAGACTACTCATGTAACTTGATCTAATTACTAAATATTACATATTTATCCATCTGATAAATATATGTCTAGTTCCATAAGGTCATACCTGTGTGAAAGTCCAAAATAAAGTCAATTGAAGTTTTTTTTTAGTTTTAGTTTTATTTTTTTAAAGGTACTTGATGATTGTCACTGACTTGACTGCTGCTAAGTGAGGGAAGGGAGCAGGAGAGCCAGAGGAAAAAGCTGGACAGAGATGCAATTTCAGGAGAAATCTAGCCTTAGGCTGATCCCATAGGAAGTAGGAAGCTCTGAAAGGTGAATTGAACTGTAGAGTTGTCCTGCCAGAGAAAAAGAAGCTTAAAGCTGATTGGGGAGGAGGAGGCAGCTGTCTAGGCATCTCTGGAAAACAACTGTCAACCATGGATAGTTCTCCAGAGCAGGGTGTAGATGTGAGCCCAAATGCACAGTCACTGGGCACTTGGTGAACAGTTTTGTGAACGGAGTCTGAGCATCTGGTATACCAGAGTACATGATTAGGAACTGGAAACCTATGTGTATTATTAAATTGTTTTCCTTACAGCAGCTACTGTGCATTAATCACAGAGATTTGGACAACTAGAGAGGCTCATGGAGAGAGTCCATAGGAGAACAATGAAATGATTGTCATATTTTTTTTTAAATAGGCCCATGGGTGAAAATTGGAAAGGATTTAATCTCAGAGAAGAAACAGAAAAGAACTTAATCAGTATCTTCAAGTATATGAAGGATTATTAAACAACATATCTTCAGGATATACTGAAGAGTGTTTTATTTTGTTTTAATCTCTACTGTGGACAAAATAAAAGGAAATGATTTTAACTTGGAGCTGGAGGGGATTTAGATTAGATACAGTACAAATGTTCTTTTCTTGTATAAATGGGAAACATTTTAGGATCTCATTCAAAGGTCTTTAAAATAGAGTAAGCATTAACCTACTAAGGATGGCCATCCCTCCAGGAATCCTGTCCTAGACTTAAAGTATGAGAAAACTATGAGACTAGAGAAAATAGGATGTGGAAAGAGTATTTCTTCCTGAGACACACACACACACACACTTTAAAACTTCTCTCATTGTTTTAAAGCTGTACATTTGCTTTAAAAGATCTAAGTTATCAAATGAAATCATCAACTGTCTTTCTTCCATGAAATTATATTTAAGTAAAAGCTTCTTTAGAAGCAAAGTAGTATATAAAAATGTAATTATATAAATAATAACTAGGTTGGATTTTTTTTTCCCTGTAAAATGCACTTAAACCTCTTTTTAGAGATCCTGTTTTATAACTTGAAAACATAAAATTTTTAAAATAGAAAATTAAGAAACAAAGTAAATTTGGGTAGAACACAAATTTGAATCTCTCTCTGAGGAAGCACACATATTCTTAGACCCCAGAGTAAATGAAGGACATGGACAGATAAAAGAAGAAAAATATTAAATCTGTTATGATTAACTAATTAGGAAATTATTTTGTTTTCATTGAAGATGAAGCTTATTTAGTGACTGCTAGGAGTTGGGCCTAAGGTTGAATATAAAAGTATGCTAGAGACTCAGAGAAAACAAATGATAACCCTGTTTTTCAGCTGGCAGCTATTTCAGCCATGCAGGGAGAATGTAGCATTTCAGAAACCAATATATTTGGAAGGAAATGGCATTCTCATACATAACTTTATTTATTTATTTATTTATTTATTTGTTTATTTATTTATTTATTTATATTTTTATTTTTTAAAGATTTTATTTATTGATAGAGACACACAGAGAGAGAGGCAGAGACACAGGCAGAGGGATAAGCAGGCTCCATGCAGAGAGCCTGAGGTGGAATTCAATCCTGGGACTCCAGGATCCATGCCCTCAGCTACAGGCGGTGCTAAACTGCTGCGCCACTGGGGCCGCCCTCTCATACATAACTTAAATGTACGATAAAGATTAGAACAATGTTAATGCCTCTAGTGCACTGGAAAGATTAAAATGAAATTAGCAAATAGCAAAAGTTAAAACACCTGGTGTTGATGTGAACTTTGAGCTCTCTTTTATCTGAAACCACAAGGCTGGTGGTAATACCATGCTTGTAATGCATCTGTTGCATGGGTACAGTGTGCTAAGCAGTTTTGTTGTGTTATCTTATGTAACTCTGGTAATAGTTCTATGAGACAGTTTATCATCACCCCCGTTTTCCAGGTAGAGGAAATGAGGCACAGAGGAGTTAAGTAATTTGCCCAAGGGTTCCTGGTTGATACTTGGTTCTGCAGCCAAGCTCTTACACATTAATCAGTCCTGTCTGCCTACCCCAGTCTGTCTCCAGTCATACATTATGTGCAGAAAAAAGTTTTATGGTAGAAGTGATACTTCGAAAAGTTGCTTTTCCCTGAAGGGATATTGTCAGCATGGTGGTTTTGCCATTTCCACATAGTTCCAATGGTTGAGAACAATCTTCATACCATCTCCTGTTAGGTCATATCATTTCTGGCTTTTGGTGTCTTGATTTATGGAACATGGTTTAATCGGTGTCTTAAATTCCTATCTAAAAGTTGCTTTATAATAGAATTTTAATACAATGGCAACTTAATTGTATTATGTTACAGAGCTAAATTTCTACATGTTTTATGAGAACACACCTGGAACTTCTTACATTTGCCATTTTCTGTTCTCTTAAATTTACCAATGTCCTATAATGTTTCACTTGTCTATTTCAGAGAGTAGAAACCTAGTTTCTAAAACCAAACTTTAGATGTCTCTGAACATATTCCAGATAGCTTGTTATTTTTCTGTCATTCACGAGGGTTCCCAATAAAGCCCATTATGTTTGTTAGGCGATAATATTGAATAGGTGACTTGAAGCAGTCTAGAACTCTTAGTTTCAAGCTACCACCTTTGTTTCACTAAAATGTCTGTGGTATACCACATTGTGTCTTCTACAAAGAGAGGCCAACCTATAGACGGTTTCTGTTTTTGAATTTATAAGTGACCTGGAAAAGATGAGTGTTGAGGCTGGAGGACCTTTGAGGGAAAAATCAAGGTTCTTTTTGGAACACAGACTATGAAGAATCTGTTGTGTCTGTCAGTTGGATGTAGATGAAAAATTACAGGACAGGGCATGTGTCTTCCTTTCAGTTTGGGGAACCTCATCTTTGACTGGCACTGAGTCCCCAACAGTGGCATGAAGAAGGTGTCCAGAGCATTCTCTCTGCTGCCTGGTAGGCAGCCCTGGCCATTATTCCCGCGTCAATCTTTCATTTTCTCTTGTTGTAGCTCAAGGAGTATGAGGCCCAGCACCGGCAGTCAGCAGCCTTGGACCCTGCCGACTGGCCAGACGGTTCTTACCCAACATTCGATGGCTCGTCAAACTGCAATGTAAGTTTGCTGTCTCTGAGCGTCTTGACTGCTCCTACTACAAAGTAGATTTTAGCCAACTTCTGCCTTTGGACTTCTTTCCATAACTAAGCTCCTACCTGAATCTGAAAAGAAGGGTTTCTTCTGACACGTTACTTGGTTTTCTTTACTTTTGATAGACTTATCTGCAGTCAAAATAGTGCTATTCATTCCTGTTTTTTTTTTAATTGTGGTAAATTCTATGTAACTTAAAATTTAATCTTATAAGCATTTTTAAGTTCAGTTAATATTCAGTTCAGTGGCATTAAGCACATTCACATTGCTGTGCCATCATCACCAAAATCCACTTCCAGAACTTTCTTAGCATCCAAAACAGAAATTCCATAACCATTAAACAGTAACTACCCTTCCTTAAGCTCAGGAAGCCACCATTCCACTTTTGAGCTCTATGAAATTTGACTATTCTAGGTCCTTTATGTACGTTAGAACCATACAATATTTGTCCTTTTCTGGCTTATTACATGTAGCATTATATATATATATTGTAGCATTATATTTTATTTTTGCAGCATATGTCAGAACTTTATTCCTTTTTAAGGATGAATAATATTCTACCAAATGGATATACCACATTTTGTGTATCCATTTATGTTGATTGACGTTTGGGTGTTTTTATCTTTTGACTGTTGTAAACAATGCTGCTGCGAAAATTTGTATATGAATATCTGTTTAAGTCTTGCTTTCAATTCTTTCCAGTATGCATCTAGAATTAGAATTTCTAGATCACAAGTTAATTATATGTTTACTTTTTTAAGGAGCCATTCTTCTGTTTTCCAGTGTGGCTGCATCATTGCACATTTTTTACAGCAATGTAGGAATGTGTATGAGAGATTGAGATGTTACTCTTAATAAATGTATCAGATGCTAGCCACCATTTTGTGCTGAGACTATGAGATAATCAAAAGAACTGTGTTCATGGATTGCAGTGTGCCTTTTTGGGTATTTTATCCCCTGGTTCTAAAGACTAGCATAATATAAATGTAAATCATGAACCTAAAGAATTGTAAAGAATAAATACAGTAACTCAGGACTGATGTGATTCAAACCCAACTTGAGAACACAAAGACCCAGTTGTCCTTAGTGGGTCCTTTAGTGTCAAACTCACTCTCACCAACACTTGTAATTTCCTCATTTTTTGTTAAAGAGCCATCCTAATGGGTATAAAATGGTGTCTCATTGTGACTTTGTTTTGCATTTCTCTAATGACTAATAATATATATCTTCCTTAAATCACTATTCGAGTCCTTGTTCATTCTTGAATTGGGTTGCTTTATTTTTGGTTATTGAGTTGTAGGAGTTCTTTGTATATTCTGGCTATTAACCCCTTATCAGATGCCTGATTTATAAATAGTTTCTTTGATTTTTAGGGTTGCCTTTTTACTTTCTTGATAATATCTTTTGACACAAAGAAGTTTTGGGTTTTTTTTTTTCTTTAAGTTTGAAGTCCAATTTACATTTGCTTTTGTTCCCTGTGCTTTTGGTGTCATATCCAAGAAATCATAGCCTAATCTGATATCATAAGGATTTTCTCCTCTTTTTAAAAGTTTTATAGTTTCAGCTCATAATTTTAGGTCTTTGACCCATTGTAAGTTTACGTTTATATATGCTATAACATATGCTTCCAACTTCATTCTTTAGCAGATAGATACCCTGTTTTCCCAGAACCATTTGTTGAAAAGACTGTTCTGTCCTCATTGAATGGTCTTGGCATCCTTTTCAAGAATTAATTGACCATGTATGCTAGGTTTTACTTCTGGGCTCTCTTATTCCATTGGTTTATATGTCTGTCCTTTGTAGGTATTACACTGTTTTGATTAATGTAGCTTTGTAGTAAGTTTTGAAATCAAGACATGTGAGGCCTCTAATTTGGTTCTTCTTTTTCTTTCTTGTTTTAGCCATTCAAATCCTTTGTAGATTTCATGTGAATTTTAAGATGGGCTTTTCTATTTCTGCAAAAGATGCTGTGAGATTTTGATAGGGATTGCAGTGGATCTGTAGTTGATTTGGATAGTACTGTCATCTTAATAATATAAAGTTCTTTCAATCCATGTGCATAGGTATCTTTTTATTTCTTTATGTCTTCTTTAATTTCTTTCAGCAGGGTTTTGTAATTTTCAGTGTACATGTTTTACCTCCTTAGTTAAGTTTATTTCCAAGTATTTTATCATTTTTGAAGCTATTATAAGTGAAATTGTTTTCTTTTTCACATTGTTCATTGCTAAGGTATAAAAATGGAACTGATTTTTACATGTTGATTTTGTGTCCTGCAACTTTGCTGAATTCATTTCTTCTCTCTAATAGTTTTTGTGTGGTGGAATCTTCAGGGTTTTCTTCATAGGAGATTCTGTCATCTGTGAACAGAGACCATTTTACTTCTTTTCCAATTTGGATGACTTTTATTTTTCGTGCTACTTTAATGTGACCAAACAGTGTTTTCTAGGAGTTCCACAGGGATTGTGGGAATTAGATTTGAAAGTTTCAAGCAGATATTTTTTGATGCCATCATCCAACTGCATGGAATGAGAATGGAGGGAGTTATCCGTTTTCATTTATTATGTAGTTGTTTTATTTGTTAGGTTATTTCTTCCTTAAAATCTAGAAGCAGGGGCACCTGGGTGGCTCAGTTGGTTAAGTGTCTGCCTTCGGCTCCGGTCATGATCCCAAGTCCTGGGATTGAGCCCTGAGTCAGGATCTGTCCTCAGCAAGGGAGTCTCCTTCTCCCTCTCCCCCTGTCCCTGCTCATGCTCATGTACACATGTGTGTTTTTTCTCCCTCTCTCTTTCTCTCTCTCTTTCTTTCTCTTTCTCTCTCTGAAATAAACAAAATCTTAAAAAAAAAAAATTTGGAAGCAACTCTACCTCCGTGTCTTGAGCTTCTTGTCTCCTTTTGTCCATGCTGTGGACAGGTAGTCATCTCTCCAGAACATACCTTTTTTCTTGCATCTCCTGTTTCCAAACAGCCTGATGTCTTTACAGTTCTGTAAGATAAATTCCAAAATTTTGGCACACTCAAGATACTTTGCAATCTGGGTTTAATCAATATCTGTGCTCTCCTCTGCCACCCCCCGCCCCTAATAGCCTCCATTCCATCCCCATTGGACCCCGCCTATGTTACTGAACATATTTTGTATTTTCATACACTCTTATTTAATTCATGCATTAAATCTGCTTCCAGATTTTTCTAGGTAAAATTTTAGGTGTCCTTCAAGATAAAGTCCAACTGCCATCCCCTCTGAAACTTCCTCCAGCCTCCTTAAGTGTATTTTATTGCTTCTTATTCTGGGCTCTGTTAAACTAGCTCTGTACATGAAACCTGACAGGTATCCTGGAGTATCAGAATTAATTGTACACATTTTAGCCTGCTTGGGAATCATGAGCTCTTGAGCAAGAAAGGCATGCTATCTTATCATCTTATCTTTGTGTCTCCAGTGAGTATCTAACTCAGTGTCTAGTTCATATGGCATGTTCTTTTTTTTTAAAAGATTTTTATTTATTTATTCATGAGACACAGAGAGAGAGAGAGAGATGCAGAGAGACAGGCAGAGGGAGAAGGAGACTCCCTACAAGGAACCCGATGTGGGACTCGATCCCAGATCCTGGAATCACGCCTGAACCAAAGGCAGATGCTCAAGCGCTGAGCCACCCCGGCGTCCCATATGGCATGTTCAAGAAATATTTAGTGGACAAAGTTGTATTTAAATGCTCATCTTTCTTGGCTGTTCAAAGAGCATGTTTCATGTCCTACAACCATAGCTCTGTCTTTACACCTTCTTTGCATCTAAACAACAGGTGATGGCTTATCAGAAGTAAATATAAGCCTCCAACTATCTTCTTGTCCTTCATTTCCTGAGTCAAGCATCGGATTTCCATTTCAGCTATAAAAACAAACAACAATAGTAACAAAAAAAAAAAAAAACCCAAAACACTAGGGGATTGTTAATTTGAAAGCCCTGGTTGGTTTGCTTTTGTGTGAGAGACTAAGATGTTACCCTTTATAATAATAAATGTATCATATGCTAGCCACCATTTTGTGCTGGGACTATGAGATAATCAAAAGAACTGTGTTCATGGATTTCAATGTGCCTTTTTGGGTCTCTTATCCCCTAGTTCTAAAGACTAGCGTAATATAAATGTAAATCATGAACCTAAAGAATTGTGAAGAATAAATACAGTAACTCAGAACTGATGTGATTCAAACCCAACTTGAGAACACAAAGACCCAGTTGTCCATAGTGTGTCCTTTAGTATCAGACTCACGATATATTGTCCTGATTAATAGCATCTGAGTCAAGGGGGAGGTTATAAGACCATGCAGTCAGAAAAACAGGACTGCCGTAAAAACCTCACACACTCAGACAGCAGGGAAAGAGGTTTGTCTCATTTAGAGAGTGTTAATATAAATTGAGTACTGTAGTGGTTTTGAATGAGCTGCTCAGAAAGCATTATTAGGTATTTGTTTGTTAGTTATTACCCCCTTCAGACAGTAAGTCAGAACCATTAGCTTGGTATAAATGGTCAGAGTAAAATGGGTACTTTGTAGAAGTTGGACATTCATTCCCTTGAGCATTTCTGTTCAGTAAGGAGACGCCTACTAAGTGCTTGCTGTATATCAGGCTTAGTGCTAGATCGTCAAGTTACACAGGTAAAGGAGCAGGAGAGACAGACCCTGCCCCAACAGAGTTTACCCAGCAGTGCAGAGGCTAAAATCACTCCAACATGTGCTCCCACAGACTTGAGATGTCATATACACACTGACATTTATTAGTTTCTTAGCAAACCATTTCTTCATTAAATGACTCAAAAATAAACTCAGCCTGTTCTCGTGGGATGAAGGGCCAGGAATACCATATGCACCCTCCATTTCCAGTACGATCTTCCAGAAGCTCCAAAGTGACTCTTTGCTGAGAGATGTAGGTGAAGACAGACCATTCAGCAATGGGAGTTTTTTGAAGCGGTGTTATT